GGCAGGGTTTTCCTAAGTAGCATTAGGAAGGTGTCATCACCTTCTGAGCCTTTGAAATCCCCCAAGCAATTAAACAGTCAAAGGAGAAGAGGCTTTTAGCTTTCCAAACACCAATTATTTCCCACACCAACACAGATGTTGAACATTAAAAATAATGTCTTTTCTCTGAAGAGAGGAAAGGGGCTGAGGACAGCTGCCATAGGCAAGCAAGACCTTGTCCCAAAAAGCATCTGTCAAAGCTGCTGCTATTTAACTTCAATGAAGAATCTTCAGCCAAAAAAGAAACTTTATGAAATTGCCTGAAGTCCCTTTTTGCCAGAATCTGCACTGAAGCTGCATCGCATCAGCAAATAAACTTGTATGAGAAAGCTGCAGCAAAATGTCTCACCCACACAGGTATTTCAGTGCCTGTCATGGGCATTGATTGATTCCTTCTAAAGCTTTTAGTGCACATTAGTTTGTTTACTAGTCCTAAATGCATTACTAATTTAGTTTGGGTTTTTTTTAAGCTATAGCAGTGCACTGAAAGGGAGCACACCTCAGAAGAGAGCACATCACAAACACTGCTCGCTTGAGGACAGGCTTCGTCCATTTTAAAAATAACACTCCTGTCTACATTTGGAATAATTATAATAAATGGCTTAGCCCAGATGGCCACTTTCAACTCCTGAATTACCAATTCACTCTGCACACAGTACACAAAGCACTAACAGTGTACAATATTTAGTACTCCTGAGACTTCTACACTGTCAATTGTGCCGGATTCCACTTTTGCAGTAAAATATTAATGATTTTCCCCAAGTCTGTATCACAAGAGCCTAACAAATCAAAGTAAAACAGGGAATTGACCCAAGGGTACCTAACCTTGCAATGGATACTCACAGGATGGAAAGGTCACACGTTAATTGGTTCTATATTATGCAGAACTGCAAAAATTCCAGTAAGCCTTTTCTCTTCTGTCTCTTAACAGCTACAAACATCAGGTGGTTTCAAAGAACCCCCCTGGGAGACTGACTGAAATGTCAGATGCAAGAAGAGGGTTAGATACAGCTTCCTCACGCAGTAAAACCCACTATTAATAGTTTATGGGCATGGAATTTGTGTGCTGCAACAGAACCAGAGTTTGGCACTGTGGCCAGCATTTCCTCACGGCCCCGAAAAGGATCCTCCTGTCCCTCTTCACCTGCCCAATGTGCCCACACTGCATCACTGCACTTCCAGATGGCCAACACCTTCCAGGTTTGAAGATGGAAGATTTTTAAGGCTGTTTTCATGCCCCAGTTGTAAATAAGTTGCAGAGTCACTAGCTAGGATAAAAATCTGTAGGGCACATGCTGGTGGGCTGGAATCCCAGCAGTGAGGGCTCAGAATGCTTGTGAATGGACAGAGGGAAAACACAGACCTTAAGGATCTTCAGAAACTCCTCCTGTGACCTTGTATTAGATCCATGACCCAATATCCGAGGTCAGGAAATTACAGGAGCAAAGGGTGGAAAAGAACAGAAGGTTTGTGTGGGATGAAGCAGAGCTGAATTCTTGGAGAACCTTTTGGAGATAACATCAGAACATTTCCAGGTAATAAGTTTATCAGCCACCAGATTATGTCTGAGGAGTCCTGATAGTTTGAATCTATTTCCAAAGCAAAGTTGAATGAGGTAAGAGTCATCCAAATTAAACTGCATTCTGGACCTTACAAAAAAGGCTGCTAAAAACATTTTTAAATTGCACCTGGACTCTTAGGGCAAACCTGGGGTGTTGCAATGGTCCCTACACATACATCAGCACTGCCTGTGTATCACGGCATCACACCAAGCCCTCACTCCCAGAGGCAGGCACAGGGAACTCGGGAGGCCTGGCTGGCTGAAGGCCTTCAGATAAGGTGCTGAAACACAACACCTGCACTTTCCATTTCCCCCAGCTGCACAAGAGGCCTATCTGCCTTGCCCAGGCTTTGTGAAAATGAAAGGTGGCAGAGAGCTCTGATGCTTTCAGGGGAGAGGCAGGAGGAAGGGCAGCAGCATTTTAAAGTTCCCCAGAGCCTGACTAACACCAAGTATGTTCAAGCATTTCCATGAAGTTCCCAAAGGCAGCTCTAGTGTGCAGTAGGAATGCTGAACTACAGTGGAGAGATCCTGAAATTAAAATTCGGCTGGGTCCCAAGTACTTCTGGTAATTTGTTAGAAAACTCATCTGGTGTTCACAGCAGTTCATAGAACTTCCAAACTACATCCAGAGATATGGCTTTAGCCAGCCAGAGGAACTGCTCTGCAGATTTGCTGGGTCAGGCAAGACCTGGATGGCAAATATATTTGGAAAGTGAAGCTTTCTCCTTCTAGGTCTGCTCAGGTTTTACAATACTCAGCAACAGTGATTTCCCAGTGTCTTAAGTGGGTGATATGGCCATGGAAAGCAGAAAAGGAGCACTTGAAGCCAGAGAGAAAGAAATCCTGGCTCTTCTTTTATTCACATCATTGTTATGCTGCTAATGACTATCAACAGGGGAACCAAAGGCAGGAATGTGCTCAAATATACAATTCTTGGAGGAGCTAGTGGGGCTTTGCACCAACTGCTAAAGCTCTATCTCAAGAGAAAGTTTCTATTAGTGATTAACACCAATAATTGTGTGCCTGGATTTAAGTGGCATTCTGCCTACCATTCCCAACAGGAAAGCAGCAAGTGTTGAACTTCCAGAGGCAACAGCAAAAATCACTGGACAACCTACATCAAAAAAAACCAAACTGTCCAAGAAAAGACAGTTATAACTGGGTACAGAAGGTTGCTTTCGACCTTTGCACTGGAAGCCAAAGGTGATGTTTCACTGGACTCACAATTTCCAACAACTTTATTTCTCCCTCGGTTACAACACTTGCTCTATCCAATATACACACCAGGATTCCCAGATCCTGAAGCACCTGACAAACAGGAGGCAGCCAGTCTTCTGTGTGGAATCAGGTCTGATATACCAAATAGACACACAAAAGCCTTGGATCCAAGAACACCTTTACCCTCTGCCCATTTCAGATTTAAGGGAAATAAGAGTGCAACAAGCATCCTCCTCTGCAGTCCAGGGTTTAGCTGTCACCAGGATAGGTTAATGTTTTAAGGACACCAAACAAGACTCTCATGGCCAAAGATGCTAGAGAGTCAGGCACAGCCAAAAGACATAGGTAACAGCAAAAAGAACCCCACAAACTTTAGACCCAGAATAATGCCTATGGTTTGTACTCCTCCCAGCACGGACAATGAAAAGCATGTCAGGCTTACCTGGCTGGTTCTCACACATCAGTGCAACCCAAAAGGGGCTGGGTCAGTAGACAGTTAAAAAACCCAATTATAACCACAAAACCACGATCAGTGTCACTGCATGTTTCCAGTGGTGTCAGGTTTGTTTTCAGCAACCCCAAACTGCAGTGCAGACTGTACACAATGCCTCTCAATTTGGTTAGTGGGCAGCTTTCCAAATTAAAAAAAAACAAATCAATAGAAGTACACCTAAATTTCTCAAGCACTCAGGAAACTTTTCCCCAGGGTCCATTACTGGAGTGGTAAAGGCACCTACACCAGGGCAGCAGCACTAAAAGGGAAGACAAACAGACTGTTTATTTACATAACTGTCTTTGATTTCTGATCCTCCTCAGTTCAGCTTTTTCTAACACTGCAATGGGTGCAGTTACCAAGTGACTGAAGTCAGAGGTTACACTTCTGGATTTGAGAACCCAACAGCACCAACTAAATCCCTGTTTACCCACCCAAAAGGAGGTGGCTTTGTTTAGATACTGAAAATCAAACTCAACTTGGGACAAATTTTTGCTGCAACAACACACGAAGATTTTACTGGAAGGCTGCAGTGATTGAATTATGGAGTTTCTTTAGAGAAAAGATGCTCTTTTTTTTTTAAGGTAGAAATACATCATGTGGCAGTATCTTTTCAGAATACCTGTTTTCATTTTCCTTATCTCCAAGCAGTCACGTGTCTAATGACACTAGCACCTAAATTTAGCTCATTCTGTAGCACTGGCAATCCTAGCGATGCCTTTAGGACTGCAACACACCTTTCTTCCTCTCAGTCTCCCCTCTCTCCTGCAGCGTGTGGGGCCGTTTCTCAAACAGCAAAGCAGAGGGTTCTCCAGAAGACTCCTGCTTCTCACTGCCAGCCCAGAGGAGCAGGGGGACCCTGCAGGGACAGTGCAGGCACCCATTCTGCTCAGTGCAACGCCCATCCCTGGCAGCCCCTTTGTGCTCTATTACAGTGCCCCCCTCGCCCGCTTTTGTCTCTGAACTGTCAGTCAGCCTGGGCTAAAACCCCAGGCCAGACCAACTTTGGGAAGTGGGAATATTCCAGTGCAGATCTACACCTTGTGCCTCGTCAGATATAATTAAGATGCCACAGATTTACGTGCGCCTCATTAGCAAGGGGTAAATGGTCACGTAAACAAGGGCAGACCCAAATCGTGTTTGCTTCCTGCTGAAACCTTTATCCAGGGGTGGTTTCCCTGCTCGATTGCTGACTCCCCCAGAACAGGCGATGACGACACTGTGCAATAAAGGCTGAGACACCGGCCTACAACTCCAGCAAGTGAGAGATGTCTGGAAGTTCGCTCAAATCACCTTCACAGGCACGCTTCTCCTTATGCCAGCGAGCCCCACTGCCTCAGCAGAGCAGCGGTGCTCTGCCATCAGCGCAAGGCAGCAGCAGCATCCATGCTGGGCTGCCAAAGGGAGCGCGATGAAGGGAGGGAACGGGATTTTACACTCTGGAGAACACCGTCCCCCTTCCCCGCTCCGGCTGCACGGGCAGGCAAAGACGGGCGTCACGGGGAAAACGGGGCAGCAACCTCCTGCACGGGAGCCTCCAGCGCACCCGACCCCGAGCCCCGTACGCCGTGCAGGCCCTGCCCGGGGAGGCCTCCAAGGCGGAGCCCCGGTCTTGCAACCGGCGCCAGCCACCCGGAGAGAGACCCTGGCCCGTGCAGGCCGCGGGCCGCCCCCCGCCCCGGTTACCTTGGTCTCCTTGACGTGCTGCTTGATGCCCTCCGGGTACCACTGCACCCGCACGTAGCCCCGCCGCAGCGGGCTGGCGCGGCCCTCCTCCCCGCCGCCGCCGGGGCCTCCCGACTCGGAGCCGCCCGAGCTGGCGGCGCCGCCGGCCGCGGCCCCGCGCCCGCCCTCCTCAGAGTCCTCCTCCGAGTCCTCGCCGTGGATAAGGCGCACCAGGCCGAAGCGCACAGAGCCGCGGTAGCGGCCCGACACCAGGTCGTGGGAGAAGAGGAGGCGCTGGGAGCCGCCCGGCGGGGCGGAGAGGGGCAGCGCGGCGGGGGGAGCCGGGGGTGCCGGTGCCGGCGGTGCCGGTGCCCCCTCCTCGGGCTGTTCCGCCATGGCGCCGGTGAGCGGGAGCGCGCGGCCGGCAGGAGGGGGAGGGCAGGGGAGGGGCGGCAAGTAACGGCCCGGGGGCGGGGCCAGCGGAGACCACGCCCAGAACGGCCGCTGGCCACGCCCACAGCGTGAGGGGCGTGAGGGGAAGGCGGGACGGGGAGGGCCCGGGGCGGGGACGCTGCACCGGCTGCTGATCCCCAGGAATCGGGGGATTGCATCATCGTCCCCTGGGATGCGGGACCGCATCGTCCCCAGGGATGGGGACCGCGCTGCGCCATTGGCCCCAGGAAATGGGGGGGCTGCACTGTCTGCTGATCCCCAGGAATGGGGGGATTGCATCATCGTCGCCAGGAATGGGGGTGCTGCGTCCTTCTCTGACCCCCAGAGATGTGGGGCTGCTCTGCATCATCCCCAAGGATGGAGGGGGACAGCAGCATCATCATCCCCAGGGATGGGGGGGAGGCTGCATTGCCTCGTCGCCAGGGATGGAGGAGCCTGCATCATCTCCTGGTCCCCAGAGATGGGAGGGCGGCACTGCACCGTCCCTGAGCCCCAGTGCCTGGGGGACACTGCACTGCATCATCCCCCAGTTCTCAGTCACTGTGGGCTGCCCTGCATCATCTCCCACTCCCCAGGGATGGGGGCTGTGCTGTTTACAGACCCGTCTGCCTGGGCACAGGTGGGGGTCCATCCTGGCACTGGGCACTGCTCGATGCTGGGAGCTGCTCTCCAGCTGACATCAAAGCCTGGTCTTGCTTTTCATGGCTCCTGGAAGCCCTCATTAAAGTGTGCAAATGAGCCGAATATTTGGCTTCATTGACTCTAAGGATTTTTCCCCTCTGTCTGCAGAGATTTTGTAAATAGAAAAGTTTTTTTGAGCAGGTCCTGCTGCTCTGGCAGGCAAAGGACTAAAGGAATCCAAAATAGCCTTCTCTGCCTATCTTTTACCACAACACATCCTGCCTCTTCTCTCCCTAAACCTTCCTGCCTGTGCAGCTCTCTCTTAAATGTCAAGAAAATGCCCGAAATCCTCAGCCTAATTTGTTTTCTTGCAGAAAAGACCCCAGGAGCAGCAGAGCAGTGTTTTCCCTCTTGCCCTCTCCCTCCCAGACTGCTCTGCTTTGGCTGGATCAACCAGCTGGCTTTCAGTCCACCTTCCAAGGTTTCTCCTTTTAGGAAAAACCACCAGGATAAAGGTCTGCCTCATAAATTCTGGAACCCTCTCCTCAAGAATGGGATTTTCCAATCTCGCAAATGACTATAAAGCCCTGGGAAGTAGTGGAGAAGAGGCTGTGGAAGGCAATGTGTGGGTGATGGGAGCTCTGCCCAGCTCCTCACTACCCCTGGGTGTGAGTGGCAGGGCAGCAGGATGCTCGAAGGGATGGAGAAGTACAAACTATCCCTGTCCTGCTTCCGAAGCAGGGAGCTGCAGGCAGTGAAGCCTTCCAGCCTGTCTTCTCCCAGGCCACCCCAGCATTTAATCGCTCCCCACAGCATCTTGTTAATCAGAAAGGCATCATGTTGATGTGATTCCTTGCTGGAGCATTTTTTGGCTTCAACCCCAGGAATAAGAAACACAATAGAGCTAAAAGGGACCATTGGGTGGCTAAATAGCAGTATGCCCTATAGGGAAAGTCAGTTTACATATCCAGCCAGCTCCACTGTAGGTTTACAGATGCTTCTAGGGATATGCTCCTGGGAATACAGACCTGCATCCACATGGCCAGACCTCTGTGAACAAGGTGTAGGGTTGATAGGCTGCATTCAGAACTTCTAGAGCACCTGAGTGCCTCTGCCATGAGGATTTCACCCTCTGACCATTGCTGTGCTGGAGGGGCGAGTATGACACATCTCCCTAGGGTGTTCATCCATGGAGCTGCGGGCAAGGTACCAACCCCCCTCTCTCTGTAGCCAGGGAGAATTGTGCCTTTGTGGAAGCAGAATCAGGCCTTTGAGAAATGCAGAAAGTGCCCTTTGACTTCATTTAATCTGATGCCATGTCTGCTTGAGGTTTCAAAGCAGAGTTTTATCCAGCACAGTGATGCTCCTCATCATCTCCTTAATGTACATTGCAACAGCCACTGATAAAAAATAGATACAGTAATGTGCTACAATCACGTGTGGAGATGGAAACCGTCCCTCTTCAGGGCAATTATGTACTGAAGAGCAGTGGTGGGGTTTCAGGTAGCCACAAATAGCCATGAAAACAATCACATTATACCCCTGACCAAGCTCACTGCAGGGGGATTATAATGGGGACAAGTCAGGGCTGTTTGCTCATTAGCAGGAGTTGAGCTGGGTGGGTTTTTGCACTCTGATCCCAGCTGGAGCTCTGATATGCTTCCATCAGGAAGCGGCACTGAAGGAGGACTGATTGCTTTTTTAGGACACAACAGCCCAGGGCCTGGGCTGTCACAATATCGACAGCCTTCAGATTTTACAGTGCCTGGGTGTCAAAATGAGCATCTCCTATTTAACATCACTATTCAGGTGTCCATGAGGTACCTCTGCAAGTCCACACCACCCAGCAAAACACACAAGACTTCTGCAAAGTGACACACGTCAAACAGCTTCCCTGCCGGCTTTAGGGAGAATTCTTGCTGGTAAGGCTGTTTTGGGTAGGGATGGCCTTTACTCTGCAGGAGAACATCCTCCCTGGAACCAAGCTGTCCCTGTGATCTAACCACCTTATGGCACTTAGGTTAGATCACCAGCATCTCCCTGCTAAGATACTGCTGCTCAGAGGGCGTGTCAGAATGCCTGGAGGTTGCCAGAATACCCAGAGGGTGCCAAGATGCCCAGCAGGTACTGGGATACCCGGGACACCCTTTATCTCCCTGTAGAGTTACTGGTGAAAAGCAAGCCCTGTCCTTCCTCCTTGGTTCTCTCACAGGGCATCTTTGCAGAGGCCCTGCAGGTTTTAAGGAGAAGGTGCTGGGGGGCCTGCCAGGTGCTGGGGATACCCACAGGATACAAGGAGGCGTGGCATGTGCCCAGGATGCCAGCAGGGTACCAGGATATCTGCCAGGCTCTGGGATGTCCACAGGGACTGGAATGACCGCTGTGTGCCGGGATGTCCACCGGGGATTCCCGGAGGGTGCCAGGTGCCCAAGGGTACCGCGATGCCCGTGGGTGTCCGCAGGTTCCGCGATGTCCTCTCGGTGCCGGTGCCGGGCTGTCGCGGGGCTCTGGTGCCACCTCGTGGGCTGTCGCCTCCCGGCGGCTCCGGTGTGGCGGGGGAGCGGCGACACCGGCCCGTGGCTCCCCAGAGGCAGCAGCTCTGTTCGGAGCCCCGGGGCTGCAGCCGGACCGAGCGTCCACCTCCCTCTGCTCCGCTCTGTCACCCCTCCTTGGCCAATCCTCCCAGTTTTGCCTCTTCTGCTGCTTCGCAGAGGCGCAGAGTCCCTGTACTTTTCCTGCTGGGAAGAGCTGGTGCCTTCAGGAAAGGTGTTTCAGAGCAGCTCGTGTCACAGGGAATGCCTCCAGAACTTCCCACAGGGAGAGCTGGGAGTTTATCTTCATCATGAGCAGACAAACAGCTCAGCAGGAGTCCCTTTGTCCCCATTAACATCAGGGAACAGAAATATGAGCGAGTGATGCAGCATATGGCAATCCTTCATCCTGTCTCTGTGATCCCAGAGAGCCTCCGGAGGCTGGGTGGGCAGGGAATGAGATGGCCTGTGAGATCACTTCCACCTCAAGCCATTCTGTGATCCTGCAGGAATCCTGATTATCCAGCCCTTCCCCTCTCTGGTTGTGCTGCCCTGACCAAACACTGCTAGCTCTCCTACAAAAACCTCAGATCAGCATCACCTTGTACATTAACAACTCCATGTGAACACAATCCTCCTCTGCTCCCTCCTCTCACCCATTTTACTGAGACCAAGACCTCAGAACTCCCCCAATGGGGCTGGTCCAGGCTCAGCCTTACCCTCCAGGATTTTTTTTTCCAGCCATTTCACCCAGGCTCCCGGAAGCAGTGTGCCAGGATCAGGGCTGGATCGAGGGCAGGACAGCTCCTATAAGCATCATGATGCTCCAACAATTGCCAGACTGCTGGAATCTCCTGTTCCCAAAGCCAGACTGGCTCTAAACTGCTTAGAGGTCCGGGTCTGGAGGGTGGGGCTGCCTCTGCTGAGCTCCTTGCCACCTGCCTGGCCCTCTCCTCCCAGAGAAGCTCCTCAGTCCCCACTGACCCCCTACCCCCTAAGGACTGTGCCATGAGTGGCTGTGACCTAGTTACAAACCCCAGACCATAGAGGGGAGGTTAATCACCAGCAGTGCAGGGCTCTGGGCAGGGCACAAAAGACGTCCTGGCTGCGTCCTGGCACCCAGTCTGCTGCTTTTGGCTGAGGTTGCCATGGCCAAGCAGACACGGCTGAAACTGTCTGGCAGACTTGTTTGTTCTGCTTTCTCAAAGGTAGAAGAGCAGCAAGATACACCAGCCCTGCAAAGGCACACGTTTATCTACTGCAGGTCAAAGCCAGAATTCAAAGCCCTTTCCCCTAACCATTGCTGAGAACCCAAATAAGCTGTGAAGTAGCGTCCTTTCATCCTTTCCCAGCTCCTTGAGAGCGTCTGTGGAGAGAATCAGTCCCACCACTGGTGGGCCAAAGGGAATATGCCAGAGGAAAGACATACACATGTATATTTGCATGTTATTCATATAATATATATACATATATAAACACTTCAGGGCACAGAGCAGAGCTAGCCCCTCCAGGGCCTGTTCAGAGCGTGGGCCTGGGAGCTGGCCACCCTCCATAAGAGCCCTGTGTTGCTATTTTGAAAGAGCAGCAGCTGGCAGGCTCTTAAACCACAAACCTCTGCTCCAGATGAAAAGCTGGAAGCACGCCGGCTTCTCAGGGGCTGCTGGTGAATTAAAACCACTCCTGGAAGCTTGA